TTTCATTCTATATTCTACATTCTTTATTCTGTATTCTGTATTTTATATACTTTATTCTGTGTTCTGCATACCATGTTCTAAATTCTCAGTTCTGCATTCTGTATTCTGTATTCTAAATTCCGTGTTATACATTCTATAACTACATTCTATATTCTAAATTCTATATTCTATATTCTGTGTTACGAATTCCATGTTCTAAATTCTGGGTTCTCTCTTCTGTATTCTGTATTTTATAATCTGTGCTCCGAATTCCATGTTCTATATTCTGGGTTCCGAATTCTGTTTTCTATATTGTATATTCTGTGTTCTGCATTCCATGTTCTAAGTGCTCGGTTCTGCATTCCGTATTCTGTATTCTAAATTCCGTGTACTCCATTCTATATCCTATATTCGATATTCTAAATTCTATATTCTATATTCTGTGTTCTGAATTCCATGTTCTAAATTCTGGTTTCTGTATTCTGAATTATATTTTTATAACTATGGTCGAAATTCCATGTTCTATTTTCTGGGTTCTTTATTCTGTTTTCTATATTCTATATTCTGTGTTCTGCATTCCAATATCTAAATTCTGTTTTCTGTATTCTGCATTCTATATTTTAAATTCTGTGTTCTGCATTCTATATTCTACATTTTATGTCTGTATTTTATATTCTATATTCTGTGATCTACATTCTGTATTCTACATTCTATATTCTGTATTCTGTATTCTCTTTTCTACATACTGTGTTCTGCATTCCATGTTATAAATTCTTGGTTATGCATTCTGTATTCTATATTCTATATCCTGTGTTTTACATTGTGTATTCTACATTCGATATTCTGTATTCTGTATTATTTTTTCTATATTCTCTGTTCTGAATTCCATGTTCTAAATTCTGGGTTCTGTATTCGTTATTATATATTCAATATTCTGTGTTTTATTTCTATATTCAATATTCTATATTCTGTATTCTATATACTAAATTCTGTGTTCAGAATTCCATGTTGTGTATTCTGGGCTCTGCATTCTGTATTCTATATTCTATATTCTGTGTTCTACATTATGTATTCTTCATTCTATTTTCTGTTTTCTATATTCTATATTCTGTGTTCTATATCCTGTTTCTACATTCTATATTCTGTAATCTGTATTCTATATTCTCTATTCTGTGATCTATAATCTATATTCTATATTCTATATTCTGTATTCTGTACTCTATATTCTAAA